ATATATATATATATATATATATATATATATATACATGTAGCAAATTTTGACAGCTAATTTTTAAAGGATTTTTGTGACGACTAATTTGTGAATATTTTATTGCCTACAAATTGTCATCACTTTCGTTTTCATTAATAGACTTTAAACTATAAAAAATAGCAAAAAAATAGAGAAAAAAAAGAATTAAAATTGTCTTTGCCTTCTGAACGACAGCTTTTTTGCTTTCAAAAATATTTTTTGTTTTGACAGTTCTGTCTATTTAATTGCACCTCCTCCTGAAATCAATGATCAACCATACTTTTGCCGTTTTTGTTGTTGCTGATATTGATACTGCTATCGTTTCTGCGGTTAATGTTTAAATATCGATAGCGGATTAAGTTGAATACCTTTTTTCCAAATTTTTTTTTCAAAACAACTGATAGTTACAAAATAATTTATAGACTTGTAAATTAGTTGAACAAAATTTCCCATTGTTGTTGCTACTGTTTTAGATGAGTAGTTGCCGATTTAAGACCTTTGCAAAACTAAATTTATTGTTTCCTCTTAGTATCTCCAAAAAAAAAATTGAGAAAACAACTATTAACGGTTCTGTCACATCGTTCTTATTCTTCGGCAGTTTTAGCTTCTAGGCTGATGGCTATTTGGCACAACGTTCTTTCATATTCTCACTCTCATTATGCGGTTTATATAGTAGCTAAAACAGCATTTATTAATGTCAAAAAAAGAAGAAAGAAGAGAAAAGAGAAAGAAGGAAAAAAAGTTGGAGAAAAAAGAGATGAGAAAAAAAAACAATCATTTGCTATCGTCTTCTCAACATTTTTTTCTCCTTATTCATCTTCAGTGGTTTTAGTCCTTTTCAAAATTTTGATTTTTTTTTCGTTTTTCGGTTTTTTTTTCTTTTTTTGCTTGTCAAGATCACTCTGTTGCTTATTTCAGTTGTTCAAGAAAATTTTTGTTCTTGCCCTCTTCTTTGGTGAATAAGCAGAAGAGAAAAGAGGTTGCTTTTTTTGTTGTTTAACCTCACTTATATTGGTGACAGACAGGTAACTTTGAAACTACTTAAAAAAATTTGTAATAACTATCTGGTTTTTGGTTTCATCAATTTCCACAATAATCTCTACTCGACATTATTTTGGTGCCATAGCTGCTTTTTTTTTTTGGTTGTTGTTGTTCATTCTCGCCACAAAATCTTAAGACAGTTGAAAATTGTTGTTGAGCTCAACAACTATATTGTTGTTCACATGTTTTCCTCCCTCTTATCGTCATTGCTCCCATCATAAATAAACGTTAGCAAAAATTTACTCTTGCCAACTTAGCCAATCTTTTTAAACTTAAATTTATCGCTTTTTTGTATTAGTTTAAGTTTTTCTATGTGTGTGTTAAAAAATGCAAAGAAAGGAACCGTAATCAGTAAAATGTTAGGATTTTTTCATCGCAACAGAGATATACAAAATTTGTAATTAAACTTAAGCATTCATTTTACTTTAATTTTTTTATACCTTTTTTTTTTTCTGTCTCTGTAGTTTAAAAACCAGCCAACTGCTTTGTTTACTGAATTACCAAAAAAATTTTTTCACCACTGTTTAACTGTTTATATTGCTCAGCTGTACTACACAGGTGAAAGTTAGAGAGAGGAAAAAATGACTGCCTAATTTATTTAGATTCTCTATTGCCAATTTTCTCTGTATAGTGGAATAAGCGGTTGAGTAAAAAAGGTACTGAATAAAATACATTTCCTTTGCTGTATTGTATGAGTATAGTTGATTCAAGGAAAAAAAAAAGAACGTTAAACAACGAATCCGATTCAACAACGGCACATATTGACTTTACTAAGCGTCTAAATGTTTGGTGATGGTATAGGTGGTGACTATGGTAGTGGTATGAATAACGACAGTGATGACGATGACGATTTAGAAAAAAAAATAGAGCCATCAATGACTGAATAGATTTACTGGGGGAGTGAACTGCTTGCAAACAGCAAAGGTTGAAACAACGTTTATACTCCGATGTTTACGATTTCGGCTTCAGTTTTTATCCATCTTTGTCGTCGTTGTTGCCGCCGTTGCCGTCATCTTCTTAACTTCTAATACTGTTTCTTCGACAACTTTATCCACAAGCGTTACTCTGTTTTATATACAAATAGAACTGTAAAACTTTTTTTTACTGTTTGTATAATCTTAAAAAAAAAAAGAAAAAAAATTTTTTTTTTGCACGAGTAACAAAGGCTTAAATATTTTGCAGCTGGGAAACTAAATATTAGATTTAAAACTTATGACGTTTACCAGAGAGGATCGTTGGAATTAAGTTCAATACCTTTTCTAGTGGTTCTCAGCGGAAAAAAAAATGTATTATGACTACTCTTATACTTCATCCCCTAGCAAATTGTCTTCACTATTATTCCCTTCCTTCTCATCATCCATCATCATCATCATCATCGTCATCATTGGCTACAACATTACTACTGCTATTATGATTAGCATCAATTTTTACTCTCTAAGAACAACAATTTTACACATTGTTGCTGCTATTCAACAAACGGAGAAAAAATTGAAAATGGTTTTAAAGCTGTAATCTTTTGGTTATATCTTTGTTCTTTACTGCAACAAACGCTTTCACCTTGTTTTCTGGTTGTCTTTTATTTATACATATATCTTTTCTTTAGCCTTGAAAATATTCATCTTATTTTTAACAGTGAACACCCGTAAAAGCATAGAAAAACCTCAGATATTTATTTATTTATGAATCTTTTCGCCCACTACTTCAATGGTTAGAATTGTTAATACGTCCCGATTTCCAACTTTGATCGTTGCAAAAAGACATTAAAACTGTTTTTAAAAAAATAACAGTGTTATTGTTAGGTATACCAAACTGTTCCTGGCGAGCAATGGGGAATCGGTGAATATTTCTGGGCAAATGCTGAAGCCCTGAATTTTGTTATTTGATTATCGCATTGATCCAACTACTGGAATAGCTATTAGAACGACAAAAAAAATTCTTCCTTTTCTTTGAAATTTCAAGTTTGTTTCCCACTGTTAGACTGATTTACTTGGGATAGAGACAATTTAGACTATAATTGTCAATGAAGCAAAAAAAAAGCAAGTCAAGTAACCCGTCTGGTTTATATTTACAATTTTAAACCAAAAAAATGCTTCTAAAATGCAGTAAAATTAGATGTAAAAGAAGTTTTTTCCATTTCGTTGCTCAACAATAATATTCTACCAATTTATTATTAAAAGAACACAAGAAAACAGTCAATGCGTTTCTATTTATATGCCCAATTCCCTTTCAAAAAAGGTATAATTTTAGGGAAATGTTACAGCATTACAGTTACCTGTCATCGGTAATGTTGATAATATTTTTGACATTATTCTGCTGCATTACCGGTTTACCGGCAGTGGTAAGCAACAATCAACAAGAATCTGATGCTCAAATATCTCCATATATTCCACCGGAACGACTACATTACTACAGGTAATCACTGATATAGCAACATAGTTTCTACCCCAACATTTTTGTTACAAAATTTGATAAGAATGCAAAAAAATTGTTGTTATTCTGTCAATCCGTTTATATTATTTGTTCATTCATTTAACTTCTTTTATTTTTTGAAAAATATTTTTCGATACTTGATACCCCGTTCAGTTTCTACAGCTGATCTTTTTTTTTTTAACATATCCTTTTAGTATGACAGCATCTTTCAAAAAAAGCACAAGAAAAAAGTTTCGAAATTTTTTACACGAATTTTTTAGTACCATTTTCTTCTCATTATCCCATCAAAATATAACAGTTTAGCTTATACCAAATAGTTTCTCCATTAAGAAGCTTTCTATTTTACACTAAAACTTTGATTTCTCTATTTTTTTACAAAAACTAAAAAATGTTTTTTGCTATTTATAAATTTTTGATCCTTTCTTTTCTTCTTTTGTAGTAGGAAGAAACCACAGCCAACGTTCAATTTCCCGGATTTTGACTACAATTATTACTTCTTTCCTGAATCAGAATAAACAACTAATATCGTGACCGCGGAAAACAAAGGCATATCTTTGAAGCACGTCTTCTTCCTTTTTTGCTGTCATTGTTTCTAGGCAATACTAATAATACCGACATGATGGCAGTAGTAACAACAATAATGATTGACGTTAGTAGCAACTGTAATAATTATAAAAATAGTTATAACAATAATAGTAATAACTAAAAAATGTTGCATATGCTTATCAGTTGTAGCTGCCTTAAAAAAGAGCAATAAAAATAAAATTCCCAAGGAAAGATTCTATAATTACATGTACATAATTAGTGATATTAATTGTCTATTTGCTAGTTCAACATATCATACAAACAGGTTAAAGTGACATTTGAAAAAGGTTTTGACAAATGTACTTTCTTTTAAAAACTTATACTGATGTGCTGTTTATTAGTTAGAATTTTATCTCCTAATTCATCCTGTTACTTTGTTAAATGTTTTGATGGAACTATACAGATAGATTTATTTCCTGGTATATTCCATTGATTTTACGGTGAAAAAAAAAAGTGAATAAAACTGAAGCGTCGGAAGTATTTGATCGACACATATTACTACTAATAATGACAGTGTTCTTTGTTACTTGTTCAGTTGCCGTTTGCTTTTTGCAATGAACAAGCAGCTGGGAGTTCTGCTTTGATAAATAATATTAGCCTTTAATCCTATAACACTTCACTAAGACCATGAACAATGTTGCAAAGAAGGGCTCTAAAGTACAACAAATATTCTAAATTAAAGTAACAGAGAACTACTCACTAAGAGCAGATCAGGCTACATGACTTCCAGTCAAAATCTGTAGTCTCGTGTGAGTAAATTGCTGAGGCGTCATGCTAAAAGACGCCAGACAACTTTAACTGACAACCTTCGTTGGTTACAAGCAGTAATTACGGCCTGATAAAATACGAACCTGATTACGACTTTAGAAGGTAAAAGTCGACAAGATTCTCTAAAATATTGCCGTATTAAAATACTCTTGTTGAAACTTTATTTTACCAAATAAAATGTTAAAGATCACGGCAAAACCGAATAATATGTGAAAGTTATTCTTCTTTGGCAAAGATGCATAAGACCATTTATTTTTAACCTTTCTATCACATGTATCAGAAAATATCTTTGCTGACGAATAGGGTTGATACCGTGTGAAAACGACTATTTCCTTCCCATTTTTCCTGTCCTTCGCTTTCAAAACTTCCTCTTTTTCCCTTTTGTTCTGCCTTCCCTCAGGATTGGAAAACTATAATAAAGTAAATTGAAAAACGAATAGATTGGACATGATAAAAATCGTGGTAACGGTTAATAATCGCAAAATTTATAGATGATACTCAGCAGCAGCCAGCCACAACGGATCCTTCCGTACCATACCATAAAAAAAATTGGTTTTCTTTGGTTTTTACCCAATATTTTATAATTTTGTCTGTAATGGAAAAGACTCCATATACATTATTTATTCTCCTAATCTTTTTTCATTCCAATTTGACTCGCTTAGAATTTTTGCTAAATTTATGCTGTTTAAAGCCTACTTTAGCTTTATTTCATCCTTTGCCCTTCTCTTCCTCAGTGCGCACAATATGAACTATGAGAGATTGCATAAAGCGATGTCGCTTAGCCAGCTTGGCTTCACCAGAAAAAAAATCAGCTACTTCAGTCTCGGAAAAAAAACGTGATAAACTGTAGAATTTCAAAATGAAACTTTAAACTAGTAATTTGTAAACATTTTAATTCAAAATCCACTATTCCTCAAAACATTGAAGCAAAATTTATAAACCATAGATCACTAATCTTCATTACAGAAAATGGCTTTGCACTTGCTAAAGAAGTGATTAAATAAGAAAAGAAATGACGAATGTCGGTGACAGCAGACCGTAAGGTGTTGAGCAGACAGAGGTTTTTTTTGAGAATTAAGGTAAAAAATTAAAAGAAATAGAAAAAAAAATTGTGGAGCACAGACAAGATTCTTTGGGCGAATTCAGTTGTTCAAAATTTTCATGAATATTTAACCGAATATATTCAGATTGCGTTAACACAGAAAAAAAAAGTCTTACATGTCAAAGTTTCCTTACATTCTTTAACAAACAAATACCTGTAATTTTTTCATGCAGACATCTGAAAAACGTCTTCAAACAAGTCTTTTATGGAAAACAAACTTTACAAAAATTTTGTGCTCATTAAACCAAGACAATAAAAATTCAATAAGGAGACATTATGAATAATTAATTTACACTTCAACAAAACATGAGTTGGTCAGATGCTTACGAAAAAGACTACAGCTTTTAGATTCCAGAACATCAAGACCACCAGTAAAATAGTTTTTCAGATGTATGCTGACCAATAAAGTAGCTTCCTGTCCTGCTTAGCTACTTTCTTTTCTTTGAAAAAGAAAAGAATTAACCTTTTATCTTTGTTTTTTTTCCCCCTCCCCTCGCCTTTACCTAAGAAATCCGGTACTCTTTTGTTGTATTTACCTCTTTCTTAACCCTCCTTTTTTTTTATTTCAGGAAGAACGAGAAAAAGAAGCAAGGAATGAGTGGCATTAAGAAAAATTTATCAAGTAACCAACTCCCTAATCCTGTGAAAGTAAGTTAAAAGTATCTTAAGGTACATATCTGTTCCAAATGTTGTTTTAAGGTGCATCAGAGAGCCTGTCTATCCACTGAGAACGTTCGGCCAACCAATAGGTCTGAAGATAACATATAGTTAACAGCTGTCAAAAATGCTAAGAATAATGTTGTACAAACTGAAAAGTAGCTTCATTGCCAAGAACTGCTTCCGCTGTGATCCCTGAAATTTCTGAAAAGAGGATGATTTCGGTTAATTTCGCCGCAAATACACGTTGACGGGACAAATAGCTGGGTCGGATTTCAGATGGCAGCCTTTGCTTTGCAAAATGCTTAGTAAAATTTTTCTGTTTTCTTTGAACTCTTGCAGCGAATTATTCGCGGTTGGCAAATTTCCAAAAGTTTTATGAATTTTGCAGGGTTTAGTGATGGTCTATGGCAGTTTGGTTCATTTTTTTCATACGTTTCGATTACATTATCTTTTAGCTCAGGAATAGCTATTTTTTACCTCTTTTAACACATTAATTTGCTCTCTCACTCTTTCACTAAAACCGGAAGACCGTATTTTCAATGGAAATACTCTTTATGCCTCAACACAAAGTAACCAGATAATGATATTGAATATTTTTTGATATCGAATGTTGCATACCATATTCTGTGTTTCTGACGGTCATTTTATTAATTTCACTTTATTTTTTTTTTACTGTTTTCTTAGATTTGGCTAGTAACTATGGGCAAGGTAAAAGTAAAGAAGAAAGGCGGCGAGAAAGCGAAATTGCTTGGCACACAGCAAGGTTTGTTTTTTTTCCTTGTTACCAGTAAGTTAATTTACTGTCTGTCTCTAAGGTCAGTGTTACATTTCGTTTATCGTGTTTGTTTTCAGTGATATATGAACCGGCTTTTAGTAAACAGTGCTTGCATATATTTTAACGATTTCAATTAGACAATAATTCTTATTGATTTACTCACGATTCTTCAGCTTTACCGTTCAATACCGATAAGGGCCAACATATATTGAAAAACCCGGGCGTTGTCAATGCTATTATTGAAAAGGTACCAGCTTAATTGTTTTTGAGCAAATTAACTCATGGCAGTAAATATTGTGGGGGACAGTAAAATTTTATTTTCGTTTTATTTTCAACTTTATAAACCTTGATAACAATTCAGAAATGCCGTGTACTCTGCACCACAATATTTTGTTGAAGAGGATATGAGCGGCAGAAAGGCAATGGCCAAAGAAGGCATAGATTATTTTTTTTTGTATTGTACTTTTAGTGACATCTGTAATCAGCTTGTGACTTGCTTAAAAGGGGTCAGGTCAGTTGTAGGCATTTATTTAGTTACGGAATGATTAGAATCGTTTACTGTTATAATGAGGGCATTAAAATAGCCTTGAAGATAAAAGTCAGCACTAAGTGATGTGATGCTGAATAAAATAAAAATTTTATATACATATATTTCTGTAAAATTTAATTTGGGTACTGTCAAAAGCGATAAGTATTTTAAGTTGATATGAAAAGGTTTTTATGTCCTTATTTTGTTTTATTTTATTTTGTTTTATTTATTTATTGATTTACTTACTGTTTTTTTAGGGTTTGTTATTGTGTTCAGGGTCTATGCCAAACTCCATCTTCTCCATGTTTGTCAAATTGACTCTGGATACTCCTAATTATCACTTGATAATTTTTTCCTAGGGATTTATCAGTTCTTTTAGTTGGTATTTCAGTAGGCTTATGGAAATAGATTTCTTTTTTTATAATGGCAGTGCAATAGTTTATTGTTTTCAAACAGCAGTCTGTATCATCGTTAGATTTGCTTCGAAGGCGTTGCTGTACCTGAAATTAAGACAACATTTAGACTGTTCGGATCAAGGACATGACAAGCGTTGAGAATTTGGTGTTGGAATTTTTTTTATATTTTTTGTTTGCTTTCTGAAAGCGCAAAAATTGTATTTAGCTGCAGTCGTTTTAGTTTTTTTCGCAGTTTATGAGTCTGTCGTATTTACTTTTTTGTAACTAGTGGTTCATTCCTTCATTCAATATGTTGCAATGTTTGATTCGATGTATTGATCTTTTGGGGAGTGAAACTTTTACAGGCAGTGAAAAACCTGAGCATTTAAATTTTCCTGGAACTTTTTAGATTTTTTTGAAGAAACTTCAATAGCTCGGAGGTTTTGTTTTTTTTAGTCAAATGAGCCTGTTTGGGTGTGATCAGTGACATGTTAAGTTTTTCAAGTTTTGTGAGAATAACATTGTTCTTCAACAGTCGTGCGTTTAATTTCCTTCTGCAGTGATATTTTCTATAATTCACATCTTATTAGAGATGTGGATTTCTAATTTTTTCCAAAATCTTCATATTGGTTGAAGGTGACAAAAGGCATGATGAATAAGACAACTTTTAACTTTTACAGTCTAACCGTTCATATATTTATGGTGCATTGAATTTTTGAATTGAAGTTCTGCGTTATTCTTTCAAACGTTTATTGTTTCTTTACCGAATGTAGTAGCTTTCATATGCAGAATTATATTCTTATTTTCGTATTCTCATTATCTCCACATTTCACTAGATTGTTAAATTCTCATTTTCCGTACGCCTTCATCGCTCAACAAATTTATTGTAGGTGGAAAGCGGGATTTGTTGGTCAAGAGGTACTAGTTATTCATGTATTAGTTGATCTGTTGAGGTACTGATTGTTCTTTAATTTTTTACTAATTTTTTTGTACAATATAGAACGGCTGTAGAAAGTATTTGATGAGATCAGTTTGAGATCCTACAATAAATTACCATTCAAAGCAACTCGGGCTTTTTCTGCCATCACAACTACTTTTCTATTTCTATACTATGCGTTGAAACAAAGTCTTTTTTTTTGCAGAATTAAGTGCTGCTTGCATAGAATTTCTTTTTGATGACTGAAATACATCTAGTGTGTGTGATTAATGATGGCTACATTTTGTGTGCATAGGCTGTTGCTAAGCTTTTTTGCTTCTTTTGTGATCATAATGTTACCTTTTTTTGTCTAAATTTTGTTAAAGATTCTTAGTAGCTTTGGAAATTGTGAGTATTTGGCTACTCTCAGTCCTAGTTTTGCTACAGCTGTCTATCGTTGTAAAAGCTAACTTGCAATACATTTTCATTATAACTCTTTCGGAAAAGTCTACGTACGAATTTTTCAAAAGTTTCATAATTCTTTCGAGGAGCGTGACTTGAAATGTTTTTTAAGTAGTGATTTCATTGTAATCCTGCCTGCAGTAATTTTAAAATATTTAGGATTTTCATACAAAATTTTAAAATGATACTGGCAGAAACTTTGTGTTTTGCTTCAGCGTTTTTGTTTGGACTTTATATTGAAAGCATATCACCGTTGTTGCCATTGATAAGGTATTTTTTGAAACTGCATTTTCTTAATTCATATTTGATACAGCAGAAACACTATTGTAGGTTTTTTGAAAAATCTAGTTTTTTTTACAGTAAAATTTTTAGCTCGGAGCTTATTTTCGACTAGGAATCAGTTTATTGAAACTCGTCTTTATGAGAGCTACTGTAATTTCGCTAGCGCAATAAGCTATTAGTCTGAAGTTGATGCTTAGATTTTAATGTTGTTTGTTTGTAAATTTATTAGAAAATGGGGTTAAAAAAAAGATTTTAAATATTATTAGGGAGGAGTAAGAGAACCTCATTTGGCAGAAAACTTATCAAAACACATGGAATCTTGATGTGAAATTGAAGTAAAGCGTAGTCGAGCGAGTTATTTAAATTATACAGAGAATTATACAAGATTTTTAAAGCCAACTTTTTTTTCTTTAAATAAGGAAACAGATGAAAAAATCAAATTTTTTGGTGCAAGGAATCTCCCAATACATTGCCAAATGATTAAATAACCCAAAAATTGATTTTGGGGAAATTAAAGAAACTAATAGTTTTATCGAATAGTATAGTGATTGCTTAGATGCCTTCAAATTTCGATTTTTTCAGTTTATCTCCAATTGTGGTCTTACCTGTATTCTAAGAGCTACTTATTCGTAATTACGAAACATTTTTTGCGGGGGATTTCTGGAAGATTTTTTTTTAGTGCTTCTAGGGTGGAAACTAGCATTCCTCTTTGGTTATTCTTTATTTTGAGAAATACATATATAATAGCTTTGAGAATGGAACAACTTTGAGGATAGTCTTGAAATGCGGAGGCATTAGTGAGCGGTCTTTTGTGAAATGTTTTTATGGATTTTAACTTATTAATGTAGTATAAGTTGGATTTTTTGCCGTTTGTTAGAATATAATTTAAGCAACTTGTGCTTTTAGTCGGCTTTAAAATCTACGGATACTGTTTTTGAAGTTGGATCTGGAACTGGTAATTTAACGGTTAAAATACTGGAGAAGGCGAACAAAGTTGTAGCATGCGAAGTAGATGGTAGGATGGTCGCTGAATTGAAGAAACGTGTGCTTGGGACGTACGTGTTTTATTCTGGCAGCACAGCGTATTTGAATTTGCCAAAAACTACATTTCTCAAAACTTTCTGGAGAAATGTGTTATTCTTTTGAAGAGTTCTTTATAAATTGGTAGATATTTCTTACCAGAATGCCCTTCTGTTTATTTTAAACATTGAAGTTATTTCTTGTCATTTACTATTTTTTCCTTGGTTATTATTTAGCAATCAACTTTTGGTTCAAGCATTATTTCAGTGATGTTGTAATAGGAAAAAAAAATCAGAAACTTCAAATTTTGTTTGGTTTCGTGATTTTTTTGTTCAGTTTTTAATACAAACTTTGTTATAGGCCTTCACAACAAAAATTGGAAATACGTACTGGGGACGTGATTAAGATAGACTGGCCTTATTTTGATGTATGTGTTGCTAATTTGCCGTATCAGATATCCTCTCCTTTTATTTTCAAGCTGCTGCTTCAACGTCCGCTGCCAAGGTTAACGGGATTTTGCTAAATTTAAAAAATTTTTTAGGTTTCAAGTATTTTCAGCGTTTTTTAGATTATGAGCTTGAAATATGTAAAGCTTACTCGCTATGGCGTTTTCGTTTCTACAGTATTGATTATCCTAAAGATTTTTTTTTTTTTTGCAACAAAAGGTTTTTCACTATCTCATACTTTTTTTTCGCAGTTGTAGTTTATTATGGGGCTGACTCTAGTTGTTATGCTCAAAATGGTTAACTATTTTGTTTAAGGTATGCTGTTCTTATGTTTCAAAAAGAATTCGCTGAGCGCTTATTGGCGAAACCGCGTGATAAGTGTTACTGCAGGCTTTCGGTCAATGTGCAATTATTGGCTGAGGTATTTCGTGCCTAAGTTACTTTTTGTCAATAGTTTAATTTGTTGTTGATTTATGTCACAGAATAAACTATTTTAGAAGTTTTTCTTTGTCAAAGAAATTAATTTTTTTGGTTTACAGACTTGTTTATATGTACAAAATATAAGTAATTTCTGTAGTGAAAGTAGGATTTTTTAAGGTTGAACATTTAATGAAAGTGAACAAACGTGAGTTCCGTCCTCCCCCAAAAGTTGATTCCGCGGTTGTACGCATCGCGCCTCGTAACCCGCCTCCGCCAATTAATTATCAGGTTTTATTTTTCAATTTATTTGACTGTTATTATTCTTTCATTTGCATTACTGTTTATTCAAGATTTTTTGAAGTTGATTGGGATTTTTGTTAGGCTTTTTAATTACTTTTTTCATCTCTGCTTTTATTCGCATTAGTATGTTTATAGTTTCTTTTTGTTTATAGCATTGCAAGCTTAAGCTGTTTATTACAGGAGTGGGACGCTCTCTTGCGGATTACGTTTGTACGGAAAAACAAAACTCTTTCATCAGTATTTAAGCATAACGAAGTCATTTCTTTATTAGATAAGAACTACCGTCTTTTTTGCAACGTGAAAGGCGTAGTAAGTACCTATCAATACTTTTCTTTCTCTAGTTATTGCAAAACTTTTTGGATTTTTTTAGGCCTTGGAAAAAGACTTCGATATTAAAACCAAAATACAAACAGTTCTCGAAAAGAGTGGATTTGCCAATAAAAGAGCTAGACAGTTGGATGTAGACGATTTTTTGGCGTTAATGCTTGCCTTTAATCAAAAAGATATACATTTTATCTAAATCATTCTTTTTTAAAGTTATTTATTTAAACTTCTGTTACTTGATTTTTATTACGGTGGGCTACCTTATGTTTGAGCTTAACGGCTGTTGTTGAATTAAGTAGCTTCCAAGTGTCATGGCTTTCATCGTTTAGGTAATTACGCTTACCCGAGGTTAAGTCGTTTATTTCATATGTTATTCCTCATTTTTTATTTTAGCTATCACGTGTTAACTTTTGAACGATTTTGATAAAATTTGCTTACGTGCTCTGTGAACACCAATTTTTATGCAAACATTTCTAGCCTTTCAGATTGTTTTATTTCTTATCTGAAACTTATCTGAAGAGTATAATTGGTGCATCTAGCTAAAGTTCAAAATTCTTTTTGATTGTATCGGTGTAGGTGAATTTTTCATTTTTCTTCTCTTCGTTTGATGCTTTTTTTATCTTATAGCTAACCTCTTAGTAGGACTGAGATTTCCTAAATGGAAAGTGTTTAAAGGCATTTAGAAAATTGTTGTTTAGGATGACAGTTTAGAATTTGAGCTGACAAGAATGGTATCCAGTTACCGCTGTTAAATTGTTCATTTTAAGGCTTTCAGTAATTAAACACTGAAATTTTAAGAAAATTGGTGCGATGCTTCTTTTATTGTGACATTGGCATAATCTTGAAAGGCAGTTATCTGGCATTAATATTTTGGGCTCAAGACTCATGTTCTCTCAAATATTTTTATATAAAACTGCATTTGTTCTCATCATCAGGGGAGGGGGTCAAAAATTGAGGCTGTAAAATCGCATTAAGATTTTGAGTGGTTTTGCGTTTATCACAGTCGTAACTGGAAATCGTTGGAAGGCGAAAGCTAAAAAGGTTTTGATAAGATATTTTTGCGTGATTTGTTTGTAAGATAATCCAGCTGTTTCTTTGATGGGTGTCAGGAACAGTTCCGTATTCATTGCTGTATATTTTGGGAGTTTTATTTGTTATCGATCATTGTTGCGATGAATGGATATTAAACAATGATTTTTTGAAGCAAAGTTCTTTGTGAACGGCTAGTTTTTTTAATGTTGTTAGCTGTTATTATTGTTGTTATTACTATTTTTATTATTGTCATTATTATAGTTATAATTATTATTGTTATCACAATTATAATTATTATTGTTATTACTTGAAATGAATTTGATTTGATTTTAGTAAGCTAATTCATACTTGTGTGTCTTTCTGTTCTTGGCATGGTATGTGTTTGCAAGATTTGAGGTTGCAGGTTTTAAGCAGGGAAGCAATTTTGTTCACATTTTTCCTTCAAAATTTATGTTTATTGTTTGAGGGTACCTGTTTTAAGTGTGTTAGTTTATTATTGTTTTTTCATAAACAAGTATTAAAGTCTTAAGCATGGGAAGAAGAAAGTTTTAGAGAGGGGGCTTCAGTTAATTTGTTTAAACATAATTCTTCAAAGCCTTTCGGCATTAGAGCGTTCTTCAAAGCTGTTAAGGAGATTTTTTGCGGTGTCTTTAGTGGATGGTTCTCTTATTTTTTTATTTTTTTTTTATTTTTATTATTTTTGTTTTTTACTTTCTCTCGCTTATTCATTCATTAGCTGGCCAAAGATGCAAAAAAAAAGTGTTTGGGCAGGACGGGTCTTTGTGACGTTAAAGGAGGAAAAAAATTGGTAGTGGTTGGGTTAGGCTGATGATGTAGAAGACACCTTATCATCAGATTAATTAACGGTCTAGAAGGTTTTGGTTTTTCTTTTTGGCGACATTCATTTTTTGTTGATATCAAATATATGTGAATTTGATGATAATTCATGCAAGAGTTGCTTGGGGATTTTTGTAGGTTGTTAACTTTGTTGTTCTTAAATTTCAAGCGTTGTTTTTTGTGCTTGTTTTTTTTTTTTCCATTATTTGCATACATTTTTTAAGCAGCATCAGTTAGGCAGGTTATTATTGTTTTTGGTGTATCAAAATAATCTGACATATTTGGTTTGGGTGTCAGGATCGTGATTGAATTGTTACATTTTTGATTATTTCTCTGTGATTGTTCTGTGCAACAGATCTGTATGCCTTCTGTTATCGGAATCTGCGTTGACAGCGATGAATCTGGAGTAGTGGCGTTAAAGAAGGCTAAAAACTAGGGGGATATTTGCGGGGGATATGGTTAATGGAAATTATACCGACCGAATTTAATAGATAGATTT